TTTTAATGTTGCTGAGATTTGAGAAACAGTACTTCTTTTAAAAAGTTATATATTCAGGTTTTTTTGTTTTTAACATTTCATTTTTACAATGCCAGAGTCGCTCTGGGAGAGAGATGGGGAGTTTCTAGATGTGATAAGTTAATAAAAAATTTTAAAAAGTTCTGCAAGAACAAAAATTGCCACAGATCAAGAGGACAAAAGTACCTGATGTCATTCATAAACGCCATGGCTGTGTGCAGACAAGTTTAAAAAGCAAGCTGAAGCTTGCAAATACAACTGAATCTCAAATCCAGCCCATTACTGAACTGGTATTTTCCCTTGGAGCTTTAAGCCTGGTACTTTTGAAACAATTTAGATTATTACCGTGTTTCTCCAACAATATGCCCCCCCCCAATAGGAAGACCCAGCATGTTTTCTAGGCATAAAATGAAATTAAGCCCCTCCCCCCAAATTTAGGCCTAGTTTAAAACATGTGAAATTGGGGGGGGAGGCGGGGGGGGGACTTGCCATTAGGAGTGCCCCGTGGGCAGCTACGTCTCACCATCAGCCGCTCCTAACAGCCAATCATGGTGGAGCACAGAGGGCTCCCTTACCCTTCCCTTATCCGGGTCAGCAGGCAAGCGGCGTCAGCGTGAATGTCCGGCAGCGTTTCAGCTGCTTTTCAGGCCTCCATAGCTTCCACGGTTCCCACTGGTGCTGGCGCCTCTCTCGCCAGCGCCGTCTCCAACAACAGCGTCTGAGTCGCTCCCGCTTTTCCCCCGTCCCCGTAACAGGAAAAAAAAACATTTTGAGGTACCTGGGAGCGCCGTGCTCTGCGTTTTGGTTTAATCCCGAGCGGCTGGGTGGGCGTGAGAAGAGCCGAATGAGCGTCTCTGCTGCTGCTATTCTTGGTGCTCCAGCCTCGGGCTCTGCAAGTTTGCAAAAGTCCCAGTACGCAGCCCGTTCCTGCATTCCAAGCGCCCAGGCTGAGCTGCAGCTGTCCCTCTCTCGCCAGCGCCGTCTCCAACAACAGTGGCAGCAGCAGTGGGAACCGTGGAAGCGTTTCAGCCGCTTCTCGGGTGGGGGAGCCGCTTCTGTAACTTCCACAGTTCCCGCCGCTGCTGCCGCTGTTGTTGGAGACAGCGCTGGCGAGAGAGGGACAGCTGCAGCTCGTTACGGGGACGGGGGGAAAGCGGGAGCGACTCAGACGCTGTTGTTGGAGATGGCGCTGTTGCGCGGGGTGGGGTGGGGAAGAAATTAATTAACCCCCGAAAAGACGTCCTAGCCGTTTTTTCGGGGCTCAAAAAAAATAAGGCCCGGCCTTATTTTGTGAGAAACACAGTAGTTACGATGAGTGTGGGTGGTGTGAATTTTGCTCCAAAACAGAGGACAAGAGACCCAAGAAGGACAAGTTTCTCTACCTCCCAGGTTTATCCACTTCCTGTCTCCTGCACGGACTTAATTTTTGACCCTTTATCTTCACACATAAAGCCACACTTTTAATAAATAAATAAATAAATAAATAATAATAAATAAATAAGAATAACAGAGGCTTCAATTTATGGGGAGGACAAGATTAAGTCTCTCCTTCTCAGTTGCTTCCTGAATTCTTATTAATGAGATTTATATGGCTGCTTATTTCCCCCCACAAAGGGAGTCAAGTTGGCATACAATCATTCTTCCCACGTCTTTCCATTGGACAATGAAAGTTTCCACTGCCACCAAAGGGAACTTTCTAAAGCAGGGGTGTAAAACTCAAGGCCCGTGGGGCCACGTCCAGCCCACGGGGTGCTTACCTCTGGCCCGTGGGGCCACTCTGAAACAGCGAAGGACTGGCTCGCGGTGCCTCTGCCAGTGAAAACGGAGCTCAGTAAGGCCGTGTGCCGGGCTCCATTTTTTTACTGGCAGAGGGCTAGCGAAACAAACTTAAAAACAAAACAAAAGGAGAAATGTTTCCCCTTTTGCATTTGAGCATACAGGAAGGAACAGGGAAAGAGAAAGGGCAAATGGAAAGACAAAAAGAAGGAAAGATGGGAAGAGAGCAAGGAAGGAAAAAGGAGGAAAGAGGGGAAGAAGAAAGGAGAATGGAGAGAGAAGGAGAGAGGGAGGGAGAGATTATAATCAGAGAGAGGATCTGAGGGAAGTTCTGCTTTAGCACAGGTGCCCCTGACATAAGTGACATTGACCTGGCCACATCGAGGTCAAACGCAACCCTGATGCGGCCCTCAGTGAAATTGAGTTTGACACCCCTGTTCTAAAGGGTGCATTCAAACCAGGATAGCAGAGAAGCCCCAGGTTACCTCAGGGAGCTGAGTTTGCCAAGAAACCACCATCTCCCCATAAATAAGTGTAGCATAAAATAGTCCAGTTGTATTACTTAGCAGAGCAGAGCCAGGTGTCTCTCCTATCCCTGAGGTAATTAAATAAAAGAGTCCACCCCCCCCCAAAAGTGTAAGATATAACCGACAAGAAAACACCCGTGGATAAATTAAAGATACTTTTAATGCATTTACAACTACAGAATCACAAACGTTCACGGGAAGAAAGCAGTGCTCACCCCTCTCCGTGCCTCTCTGTGCGAATAAAGCAGGCATGCATACAGGTCGAGGGGCTACAGGCGGGCGCGAAAGGCGAAGTTTCATCTAAAGAGAAAGCCAGAGGACTGGAGAAAAGGCGGCGGAATCACGAGCATCTCAGAAGGAAGCGCTGGCTAATCTGGATCGGAAGGAAAGGCAGATTCCGAGACACAGCGGCTTAATCAGGACCATAACTGAATGTTGTCGTTTTCATGGAAGAAAGGGATTTTCTTCTAGCTAGATACACACTAAAACAATTTTAACCCTGGGGTGCAGGTGGGCTCGACCCTACCGTTCTTCAATCTGGACCACGCCAGCAGCATCAGATTATAACGCTCACCACTGGAGGAGGCCAGCCTGGCTGGGGATGGTGAGAGCTCCTGCCCAACCATCTTGAGGGCACCAGGTTGGCAAAGCTCTCGTGGAACTTCTCCTGGACTGGCAAGACCTGTGTTCAAATCTTTCCTGCCTCACGAAACACAGAACCCCAAATCAGATGGGACGAGACTCAGAGCTGTGTGTGAGAGAGATCTCCATTTTCCTCTTCATCAGGAGAGGACAAAGCATTGGCGAAAGAACATCCTATGATTATAAGGGGAACAGCATTCCTACACAGTCGTTTATTGTTATTTATTTAAATTTATTATAACCACCCAACTAGGAATTTCAAGAGTACTAAGCAAATACAGAGAATATCTGCAGAACCTTCTCGCTTAGAAATACCTCGAGGGCAAAACTGCCAGCTGAGACTAAAATATACTCCCTACGAATGAGGCTCAACTCATACTGGCTTAGTTTGTTTCTAAGAACAACCAAGGTTAGCTATGTGCTGTCTTCTATTGGACAGTCTCCACATTGCTGTGTGTTGTAAATCTTTCCCTTCCCAATCCATTTTTTTTGACTGGGAGAGAGTAACCCCATAGATCAGGGGTGTGAAACTCACTTCGTCGTGGCAGCGTCACATATCACTTTCCCCCCTTAATGCTAAACAGGGTGTGGGCGTGGCCAGCGCATGATACAACCAGCCCACGGGCCTTGAGTTTGACAGCCCTGCCCAAGATCCTTAATGTGCCTCCTAGCCTAGCCTAGCAGCAGGATTACTGTAAGACAAATTGAGATTCCCCCTTCTCAACTCCTATTAAGGTGCCCTGAGATACTAAAATAGGTTACCATTTATGGAGTTGGCCGGTTTCAGTTTTACTCAACTATGTTCTGCACGGAACTGTTTAAGAGTCCATGTTCCCAACATCTAAATGAACCCAAATCCATGTAAACCGGCAGGGAAAGACCGAGAGAAGCTCCAAACCAATGTTTTTCAAACTTGGAATTCTGGGAGTTGGTCCTCGTATCTTTAAAATTTGCCAAGTTTGATACACATTGCCCTAAATGATAAAATTGGTGTTAATACAGATCGGAGAAGTGTTACTGAAAAACTTAAGCCAGAAAACCCACCCCCTAACTTTCTAAATAGCTTGGTACATTCCTGGTTTCCAGAAATTAAGGGCTAGGAAGGAAGAGACTGCCAACCTCAACTTCTCTTTTTTCCCCAGAATCCTCCCTGCTTTCAATCTCACTGACCCAAACAGTGGAAGAAACATTATAGAGTTGCTCCTTCACCTTTGTGCTCATTATCTAGAGAGCAAAGGGGAAAAAGAAAGAACATTAAAAAGGGAACATATGTTAATGCAGCTCTTCTCTGGCTCAAGGCTTGCTTTATATAACATGTAGAGTGCATATTAAAAAAAAAAAATATCTATATACCCCTGCTAAAATGCCAGGTTTTGCGATGTAAAAAAAGAACAGATCCAAAAAAAAATCACTTCAGAATTTTTCCCCACCTTTAATGTAACATGCAAGCTGCACAATTCAATTGAAAAACTGAAATATTCTCAGAGGGGAAACTAACAATAAAAATGTACAACAGTATTGCATAAAGACGCACACCCTTAAATTAATACTTCGTTGATGCACCTTTTGATTTTTCTGACAGCTTGCAATCTTTTGGGGGAAGGAGGCTATCAGCACGGCACATCTTGCCTTGGAAATCTTTGTCCACTCTTCCTTGCAAAAGTGTCCCTACTTTGTTAGATTGTGAAGGCATTTCCTATGCCCAATCCTCTTGAAGTTACACCCCCTCAGACACATTTTCAATTGGATTCAGGTATGAGCCATTCCAAAACTTGGAATGTCTTCTCTTTTAGTGAAGACATTCTTTTATTGATTTGGAGGAATGCTTTGGATCATTGTGTTGGAAGGTTAAATCCTTCTTCATCTTCAGTACAGCAGAGGCCTGAATAGCATTATAGTATAGTATTCAATAGTATTCTGCCAAAACAGACTGACATTTGGAACTGTTCATAATTCCCTCCATCTTGACTAAAGCCCCAGTTCCAGCTGAAGAAAAGCAGCCTCAAAGCCTAACGTTGCCACCATCATGCTTCTTCAGGTATTATGTGCAGTGTTGCTTTTGTGCCAAACATTATTATTTTTTTGCAATTAATGGCCAAAAGGTTCGACCTTGATCTCATCAGACCATAGCACATCTCTCCCACATGCTTTTGTCAAATTAAATGTAGGTTTTCGCAAAATTTAGCCAGGCTTTGATGGGATTTTTTTTTAATAAGGCTTCTATCTTGCCCCCCTACCCCACAGTCTAGATATATGACGAATATGGGAGATTGTCATGAGTGAAGGCAAATATACATGTCCCAGGATAATGTTGGAGGATCCAATCTGGGTCGGTCACTGGGACCAATTGTTTTCCATCCAAGGCTTTTGGATTCGTGCCGGAGCCCATCTTCAGGGAACTTCTCTCTAGCAGAGTGTGTGCTTTGGACTGTTCTCTTGTGTGATATTTATATGGTGCCTGTTGTATGTGGCTTTTTAAATGCTGATTGGGGTGTTGATGGCTGGCGATTGTTTCTCCCAAAGTATTGGTTATTTTCACATGTAGTGCACAACCAGTACTTGCCGGCAATTCCTTCGGCTCCTTTGATGTTGCTGTAGGCCTTTTGGGCAGCCTCTCAAATCTCAAAAGTGTTCTCTTTTTATCAAATTTGAAACAACATTCAGTTCTTGGTAATGACCCTGTTGTTGTAACCATATTTTCTCCACTGTTGATGACTGTCTTCACTGTGTTCCATGGTACGTCCAATGCCTTGAAAACATTTATGTATTTTTTTTCCTGACTGATACCTTCCAACAAAAGATCCCTTTGATGCTTTGTAAGCTCTTTGCAGACCAAAGCTTTTGCTGTAAGAGGCAACTGAGCAAACATCAGAAAAAAATCCCATTAGAACAGCTGAACATTAATGGGCTTGATCAGAGTCATTGTAATTGATGGCAGGTATGTACTATTTAATATCAGTTTGAATGTGATTGGTTACTTCTGAACATAAGCCACATCACTACTTATAAGAGCGTGTGAACAACTTACTTATACAGCTACATTATTCTATTTTTTTTTATTTTTTTCCCCACTAAATAATTTTGTTTTCCTAGTAAATGGTACAGCTTATATGTTACATTAAAGGTGGAAAAAAAAATTCTGAAATGATTTATTTTGGTCTGATTTTTTTTACATCTCAAAAATCTGGTATTTTAACAGGGGTGTGCAGAATTTCTACATCCAGTGTATGTTCCCTTTCCATCACACTCATTTGATATTGACATACCGCAGCTTCTTCCTTCCTATTTGTCTGTAAGTTCCTTTCTTTGCAATGGAACCAGACCCCTCTCTTCCCTATTTTCCCACATGCATGCGGCGGGATGGGAGAACACACCCCATTCTCCAGAACATAAACAAAACACCCCCTGGAGCAGTTCAGACATGCAAACTACATGCTTGCTGGATGCACGAAGCTTTGAATAAGGACTTCGTATGGGTGAAAAGGTTCACTAGAGACCAGATGTCACTGCCTTGTATCTCTTCCAAGCCCCCATGTTTTGCAATGAGAACATTGCTCAAGTCACGCATGTGTGAACTTGTGTGAAAATGATTTTTTTTTTCCTCCCCAAAACACGCCATACTCCTCAAATTCTCCCTTGCACAAACTTTTTGGCAAGTATGTATCCCGATTCCCATTTTTTACAGCACTGCCCCTCACACATATAGGGAGAGATGATAGAAATTAAGAAGAGGGGCAATGCAGATTCACGCCATCTACTCCTGCGTTCTGCTGGCATCTCAGTCCACAAGTCTCCAAACATTACAGGATGCAATGCTGACGCGTAAGAGCAGGGGCGGGCAACTTTGGCCCTTTTATGATCTCGTGGACTTCAACTCCCAGAATTCCTGAGCCAGCCAGAAGTTCATTGGTAGTAAAGGCGCCTCAGTTTCCCAGATCTGCATAAGAGATACAAGAGCAGCCATCCCGTGCAATTACAAGAGCCTAAGCATCCTAGGAGTACTCCTGATCTGGGTTTGAAAGTAGTCCTCAACCTATAACTGGTTGCTTAGCAACCAAAGTTAAGATGGACCTTTCTTGCAACTTATGACCCGAATTCGAAGTTTTGATGGCCGCCCCCCTCCAGCAATCACATGACCAAACTTTGGGCGCTTGGCAACAAGGGTTCATATACGGCCATTTGTAGTGTCCCACGGTCATGTGACTGCATTTTACCGCAGTTTCGCTGAAAACCACCATCGGCAAAACCATGCCCATAGCAAACCACTGATCTGCTTAAAGCCCTCAGTGTTTGCTTAATACCATGGTGTTTGCTTTATGCAAAAAGGCCATAAAACTGTCTTACAACTTTCGTGATTTATGACTATGGGCAGGCTCCTCTAAGTCAAGGACTACGTGTAACCTCTCTTTGTCTTGGAGAGTTGAGTTAACTGGGCCATCTCATTAAGCTCTAGTTACTTGTTTAGTGTGTTTAGGTGAATAACATTGAGCAACTGTGCTTTATCAACCTGAAGTTAGGATTTAGCCCAGAGTTTCTCCATCTTGGCCACTTTAAGTTGTGTGGACTTCAATTCCCAGAATTCTCCAGCCAGCATCGCCACTGCTAAGAATTCTGGGAGTTGAGGTCCAAGTTGCCAAGGTTGAGAAACATTGATTTAGAGTGTTATGTGAACCCAGCCTTAAGGTGTTCCCTGCATCTACTCGGGCCACATTTCACAATCTGCAGTTTTGTGGCAGAAAGGGGGAAATTACTGGAGAACGCTTAGTTTAGGGGTGTAAAATATACATAGGTTAAGTATTTCCTACATCTTTAACAATATTTAGAGCAGTGACTACTCAGGGACTTTTTAAGAGTTCTCTCTGAGGGAAAACAGGGAAAAGTTCTCTTGATGGCAGACATAGGATCTAGAAAAATCTCTTCATTTTCCAGTGATCTAACTGTCATATTTCCCCTCAGCTATTCTCTATCTCAAGGATAGGCAACTATGGCATCTTTACAACCTGTGGACTTCAACTCCCAGAATTCCTGAGCCAGCATGGCTGCCTTGGAATTCTGGGAGTTGAAGTCTGTGGGTCCTAAAAGGGCCATAGTTGCCCAATCCTGCCCTATCTTATAGCAAGGCTAGGTCACACTCTCAGCTGCTAAGACTGGTAGAGCGGTCATGTGAGGCAGACTTTTTTTTTTTTGAATCAATCCTTTGGCTCCACTGGCTTGGAAAGTATCCTGCATACTTGGTGTTTACATCCATGAGCAATCCCTTCTGCCTCTTTCGGGAAGTGGAGAGCACTGTTCACACAAGCCAAGCCTGCATCTTCTACATGATGATGTGTGCACAGATACGCAATGGCCAGAGTGCATGTCAGCTGGCCTTACCAAGCAAACCAGAAAGTAGATCTTGCAGAAACATCCCTGGGCTTATTTAAAAAAAAAAAAACACCAAAGTTCTTTAAAACTAATAAACAAACAAAACTTTTCAATGGTACATCGAGGAAATGGAACGGCCTTCGGAGCTACAGATGCTATGCCATCCCAGAGATATAGGATTCCCTGCCAGAGTCTCATGGAAACCAGCCTGGTGCCACATCGGCAATGCTTTGCGCTCTACGAGCATTTCAATGGTTCTTCTCCTGTATGGACCCTTTTATGACTTAGAAGGTGGGAGCTGGAGATAAAGCATTTCCCGCACTCTAAGCATTCGTAGGGTTTCTCCCCCGTGTGGACCCGTTTATGGCTGACGAGACGGGAACTGGAAATGAAACTTTTCCCGCACTCAGCGCATTCAAAGGGCTTCTCCCCCGTGTGAGTCCTCTTGTGTGTGATGAGGGAGGCCTTTTGCCTGAAGCTCTTGCCGCAACCTGAGCATATATATGGCTTCTCTCCTGTGTGGATCCGACTGTGAGCCGTAAGGTTGGAACTCCGGCTGAAGTTCTTCCCGCAGTCGGGGCACTTGTATGGCTTCTCGCCCGTGTGCGTCCGCTTGTGATCCGTCAGGTGGGAGCTGCTGCCGAAACGCTTCCCGCACTCCAGGCACTCGTAGGGCTTCTCTCCCGTGTGGACCCGGATGTGGTTGATGATCTGGGAGCAGGCGCTGAAGCTCTTCCCGCAGAGGGTGCACTCGTAGGGCTTCTCGCCCGTGTGTGTCCGCTTGTGCGTGATCAGGGAGGCCTTCTGGTTGAAGTTCTTCCCGCAGTAGGAACAACTGTAGGGCTTCTCCCCCGTGTGGACCCTCTTATGGGTGATGAGCTGGGAGCTGGTGCTGAAGCTCTTCCCGCACTCGGAGCACTCGTAGGGCTTCTCCCCCGTGTGCGTCCTCTCGTGGGTGATGAGGGAGGCTTTCTGGTTGAAGCTTTTGCCGCAGACGGCGCATTTGTGCGGCTTCTCGGGCATGTGGGTCTCCTCGTGCCGCATCAGCTCGGAGGGATGAGAGAACCACGTCTCGCAGACCGAACACTTGTACGGCTTCTCTCCGGTGTGGATCCTCTCGTGGATGATGAGGTGCGTTCTCTCGTAGAAACTGGCCCCGCAGAACGAGCACTTGTGGGGTTTCTCCATTGGCTGAATTTCCTGAGGGCCAAAACTTTTGCAGGAACTTTCCCCTGAGTCGACGTGCCGAGGAATCCCTTCCTGAAAGGAGCTTTCGCGTGCACCCCTGCTGCTCTCCTCAAAGCGTTTGGTCACCTTTCCAGGATGATTTTCAGAGGGACCTTCGGGGTTCTCGTCCGACTCGGAGCCTTGGAAACCCTTCCCTGTTGCCCTTTCCAGGGATAACCCCCCACTAACTGTTGGTTCAGGATGGTTGGGCTGGAAAGATTCCTCCTCCTCTTCCTCTTCCTGCACTTGCTCATTCCCTGTGGTGACAAAAACAGATAAAAGTTAAGATAGGTCTCTCCATCTTCACCAAATCTGGAAGGCACAAAAGCTTTGTTCCCTCTTTGGCCTTCAGTAGTACAAGGAGTCCATGGAATCTGTTAAGGTCAAGGAGGAACTTTTACCATCTCTGGTGGACTTGCAACAAAGCAACAAAAAAGAAAAAAACGGAATAGGATTCACATCTTAATACAGAAGATTCTTAAAGTGAATATAAAGATAAAACCATATACTTTTTTCTTTTAGGTTTAATGGACAAAGATCTTGGGGAAAAATATGAACTTTTGTTATATGTGCTGACAGCAGCAAATAATGCTCTATGTACAACAACGGAAAGATATTTTAATTCCACAATTAAATTCCACAATGGAAAACTGATGGTATTAGCAGAGGTGACTAAGTTAGCTTTCCTAATCAAAGAAAAAAAAATACAGCTAACTGTTTCTACTTGGATACCGCTACTGACTTTGTACTTGAGGTGGGGGGAAACTTTGGGTTTTGTTGATTAGATTGTTTTGTTATAGAAATGGCTAGGATATATAAGTAAATAAAAGTAAAAAGTTGAGGTTGCAGTGTTACACTAAAAGCCAGGGAAGGTCTACACCTTGGCAGTTTGAGTCCTACCAAACTCTGCGTGGCAGAGTGAGCTCCCAACACTTGCCTCAGCTCCTACCAACCTACTGTATTTCCCCAAAAATAAGATTGGGTCTTGTATTAATTTTTGCTCCAAAAGATGCACTAGGGCTTATTTTCAGGTGATGTCTTATTTTCGCTTCCCACATACAACAATCTACATTTATTCATTTATTCATGCACAAAAAATCTACATTTATTCAAATACAGTCATGTCATCTTCTTCTGGAACATCGTCATAACTCTCCAAACCCCGAATTCTGTCCTGGATTTCTTGCGACTCCATTTCCTGTAGAACCATTGGCCCCAATCTCTCATGCCCAGCAATAGAGCTCTCCTTAAATGAGCACCTCTTGTCCATGTAGCCTGCTCGTAGTGCATCGGCAACACAGCTATCGGTGATTTTATCCCATGAATTCTTCACCCAAGTCACAATCTCTTGCAGGCTGGGCTTCACAAAGTTTCCATGCTGATTTCTCTCCATTTTATTTTCAATGTAGTCATTGATTTCCATGTGCAAATGGTCCTTGAATGGCTTGTTTATTGCAATATCGAGAGTCTGGAGATAGGCAGTCATTCCTGCGGGAATCATGATTTGATCTATCCTTCTCTCTGCAAGGAAGGTCTTCATGTCTTTAGTGCGGTGAGTGCTGGCTGAATCCCAGACTAGCAAACCTCTTTGGCCACCACGCAAAACAAGTGGCAGCATTACATCGACCCACTTCCTTACAACTGCTTGTGTGCACCAGGCTTTTTCGGTTTCGAGAACATAAGTGCCTGAAACATGTTCAATCTTATCTTTCTTGCCCTTAGAGATGATGAGAGGTGGGGCTTTGCTTCCATCCAGGCGAATGGCCAAAATACAGGTCACGCGTGCACTTTCGTAACCAGCGGAGGGAATGTAGATTGACGAGGCCCCCCTCTGATCAATTGTCGTTTGAGATCCTTGGCCCACAAACACTGAAGTTTCATCCATAGCAATCATGTTGGAGAGTTGGTATTTAGAAAAATCGATGCCATCAACGAAGGACTTGAAGGCAAGGGCACGTTTAATAACTTCGGGATCTTCCAGCTTGAACAGCGTTGTCGATCTTCTTAGAGACAGTTCGTAGCGTTGAAGGAAGCCATCCAGCCAGTGCTTTGATGCTTTGAATTCTTCCGGGGGTATTTCTAACTGGAATGCCATTGCAAGGGCAAATGCTTGAATATCAGCCCTGCGCACAACCAAACCCTTTGCTCGCCTGTCAGCGATCCATTCACAGATTATGTCTTCCAGTTCAGGAAATAAGGGTGGCCGACCTGATCCACACTTGCGCTTCTTAGCATTTCCCTCGTCCACCTGTTGACTGAGGTTATCGTACTCTGCTCGCCACTTTCGGACCATTCGGAGATCCAACTTCTTCTCTCTGCAGAAAGCCGTAAGGGTCTTGCCCCAAGAGTCCTCCACGATTCCTTTCTTGTACTCGACGGAATAGCTCTTTCTTTTTGCACTCATCTTGTCTAGGGGTCAAAATATTATTCCCTTTAAATCTACCATTAAATCAAGCGTGAATTGAAGACGTACGAGACAGGAGTGGCAACAAAAAGGATGACAGTTAAGAATGATGGTCACCAAAATTCAGAAAACGTTTACCTCACACGAGCGCATTAAGTACATCCGTTATGACACACAATGTATTGAATTATAAAACACGTCTGTTCGTTATCAAGGGTGCATTATTGGTGCATTGTATCTGTACTCTGATCGGTCATTCGGCAATAAGTCTCAAGTGCGTCTGTTTACGTAGTTGTTTACCTCTCGTCCAAAGGTACCCGCTTGGGTATTTACAAATTACAAATAATTAATTTATATGATCATTTATTTTAAATATTAATGTCAATAATATTATTTATTTATATTTAATTGTATATTAATATTATTTTATAATTCAATACATCCATCGTGTGTGGACTTACTAAATGCATCCGTCTGGCTGATGATCTTAACTGGGGCTTATTTTTTTGGGGGGGGGGGAGTAGGGCTTATATTACGAGCATCCTGAAAAATCACGATAGGGCTTATTTTCCACTTAGGTCTTATTTTCAGGGAAATACAGTAGCAGTTCGACAGCATATAAATGTGAGCAGATAAATAGGTACCATTTCAGTGTACGCCAGGGGTGTCAAACTCAAGACCCAGGGGCCTAGATCTGGCCCATGGGGCGCCCTGGATACAGTGATGGACTGGCCTGCGGCACCTCTGCCAGCAAAAAGAGGTCAGGAAGGCTGCATGCAGCCCTCACAAGCTCCATTCTCGCTGGCAGAGGGTTGCAGGAAGCCATCACAGCTGGAAACAGAGCTCACAAGGACTGTGTATGGTCCTCCCAAGCTCTGTTTTCACTGGCAGAGGGTTGCGGGAGGCCGTCGCAGCCGGAAACGGAGATCGGGAACCTTTTGCTGGCAGAATCCTCGGGCCACCATAGGTGCCCCCAACACGAGTGATGTTGAGCTGGCCACGCCCACCCCTCCCACCCCAACCCTGGCTCCCCAAGGTCGAACCTGATGCAGCCCTCAATGAAAACGAGTTTGACACCCCTGGACTAGAAGATCTCCAAGATCCCTTCCAACTGTGTTATTCTGTTATTAGAGTGTTTAGGGGAAGTTAAAGGAGGAACATCGCAAAAACAACGGAGGGAGCTTGCACTCCTGCCTGGGAACTCTGCAGGGACAACGGAGGAAGGGGAGAAGAGACCACAAAGAAACCACTAACCCTAACCCCAACAAAACTGAGGGTTCAAGCTGACTTGCCTGACAAAGTGGCCTCCCAATCATCCTCCTGCTTCTTTTCCAAAGGGAGCTGCACCTTGAGGACATGAGACGAAGAATGATCCGATTTGGGGGAGCTAAACCCCTGTTCTAAAGTTCCTGACACCTAAATGCAAAAACAAAGAAAACAAAAAAGTGCTTTTGAATATAGTTAGTTTTGGAGAAACCGAATGGCCAGAGACCCGTTGACCTGTCTGCCTCCTAATCAAAAATTGTTGACTGTCTCAAACATTTGATCATTAAAAGATAAACGGCTCTTGGATACGGAGGCTCTGTATGTTTTAAAATCGAACACGTGGGCTACAGTTCAGCCTCTTCTCATGACAATGGTGGTTTATTCATTAGCTCAGCAAACAACAAATACTCTTCTATGACAAGAAAGGCTGAAAGCCAGACAAGGTTAGAGTTGGGTTTGAGTTTGCTCCCTTTCCTTTTATCACCATTATCATGAGACACACCCCAGCACACCCAGGCCTATACGCAGTTCTAATTCTGGCCACGCCTAACCCATTATCCCTAAATGCTATTAGCCCTATAACATGTCTACCCTATTCCGACCCTCACAAACTGATCCCCACCTGGTGCTACCTTCACCATGTTTTAACCTAAGTCTTAATGACCACCTATATGTGCCCCAACCCCCTTTAAAAATATACACCACATCAATACATGAAAAGAGCCATTTCCAGCAGCCCCGCAGTTGTTGCAGAATCCATCCTCAGCTCTGCTGAGTCATTCCAAAGCCATCGGCCAGCACACAAGCAGAAATTCAGATCTGGCAGCACCAGAGATAAGGTGACATGGCCAGCCGACTTGCTACGAGGCATATTCGGAACTGACGGGCTCTGAGTGAACTCGGAGCCCGACACCTCTGCTGTAGCAACAGCAAAATATTTATGCCTCCAGATTTTCTGCATCACTCAGCAGGTGTTTAAGCACAACAACAGATTACAGATAGTCCTCAACTTACGACCACAATGGAGCCCACCTATTTATGTTGTTAAGGGAGAAATCCGTTAAAAGTGAGTTTTGCCCCACTGTACGACTTTCCTTGCCCCTGTTGTTAACTGAATCCTTGCAGTTGTTAAATTAGAAACATGGTGGTTAAAAGTGACTCTGGATTCCCCACTTTGCTTGTCAGAAGGTTGCAAAAAGGGATCGCATGACTCCGGGAACATTGCAAACCGTCATAAATATGAACCAGTTGGCAAGCAATTGAATTTGGATCACGTGACCTGCTGGCATGGTTGTGAAGTGTGAAAAACGGACATAGGTCACTTTTTTTTTCAGTGCCGTTGTAACTTCGAACAAACTAAACCAATGGTTGTAAGTCAAGGACTACTTGTAATTGAGCAGGGCACACTTTTTAAAGCAGTGGTTGCCAACCAGTGGGCCGGGGACCACTGGTGGTCTGCGAGAAAATTTTGGTGGTCTGCAGAGAAATGTCCCCCCAAAGCAATTAATCCAGGCTGGGCAGGAACACAAGGCTGCGCCGCCCACGTGGCCCGCGTGAACACAAGGTTTGTGTTGCTTGCATTGCGAACAACACGAGGTAGTGAGGGGAGGGGGAGAACTTGCCCCACTTGCCCCACGTGCCTGGCCTGGTCACCGGGCTGCTTCTTTCCGCTTCTTTCTTTCTTCTTCTGCTTTTGGCTGTATGCAAGGAAAGCAACCAAAGTCTTTCTTTTTCTCCCCAAAACTCTGCCAGAAATGAGTCTTTGGGATCCTGCAAGGCCTCCTGCTCCAAGAGGCTACACTGGCAAAGACTCATTTCTGGCAGAGTTTGGGGGAGAGAAAGAAAGACTTCTGCTGCTTCTGCTGCTTTCCTTGCATGAAGCCAAAAGTCTCTCTCTCTCCCCTGTGATCCCAAATAAAGAATAATCGATCGGTAGGAAAACGGGATGGGGAATTTTCCTGCAGACTTTTTTTGGAGATTTTTCCCAGGGTCTCTGCTGCTTTCTGCAGAGACCCTGGGAAAACGTCAAGCCACTGTCAGTCAAAATTCATATTAGTGGTCCGCGGGATTTAAAATTATGTGTTTGGTGGTCCCCGAGGTCCAAAAGGTTGGCAACCCCTGTTGTAAAGGATCACAGCTGCCAATTCCTGATGCCATCACCCTTCTCACCTTCTGCTCCGGCTCTTCAGCGTCTTGCAAGAAACGTTCGGCCAGGGCAACAGCCCGTGTGCAGGTCTCCGGCCCTTGTTCCCGGATCCAGCTCTGCATCTCAGGGGGCAGGACGGTCAGGAACTGCTCCAGGATAAGCAACTCCAGGATCTGCTCCTTCGTGTGGGTCTCTGGCCTGAGCCACTGATGACAGAGCTCCCAGAGCTGGTTGCAAACCTCCCGGGGCCCTTCGGCTTCCTCGTAGCAGAAAAGGCGGAAACGCTGTCTCCGTATCTCCACGTGGACAGCATCCTCGTCCAGAACCTCTTCCTTCACCTTCACGGGGGAATCCTGGCTACTCCCGTAGGCCTTATTGTCACCCAATGTGCTTTCAGATACGCACTCTACTTTCGGCCACTGGTTGTCTTCTTCTCCTCTCTTGAAGGAGGTTGGGCAATACTTGGGGTCTTCCCCTAGCATATAGTGAGGGGACCGGGGGTTCCTCCACCCTGAACGAGAAGGCTGCATGGTCTTCAGGAAGTCTTGTAATTGGTTCTCCCAGCATTGGTCCTCCGGCTCCTGCTTAAACTGCTGGGGGGGCACAGCCCCCTCCATCAACTCCCCAGTGGTCTCGATCTGAACCACATGAAGGTCTTGTGCTTTGCCTTCCAAACCCTCCTGTGATTCGGCTCCGGCAGCTTCCTGTTCCTCCATTTGGGTTTCTGAATCCAGCTCCTGCGTTAAAAAATGGGGGAAAAAAATCAGGGTTACCTATGTACCAAAACCAGACTCCACCACCCCAAAGCAAACTGCAAGGACAGTGCAAACTAAATTAAGCATGCAAAAAAAAGAAGTCCTAGGGGGTCTCGACTGGGCTTTTATTAAGTCTCACTTCTCCGGGCATGTGAGATGGCAACATCCAAATTTCCCAGTTGGAATAGAATTCCGGCACTTGCAGTTGCAACACCTCTGGGGAAGACAGACGTTACCCAAGTTTGTAGACATCCAGGAATTGCAGGTAAGCTGAGCTGATGGCAAAATGAGGACAACTGACCTGAAAGTGCTTTTAAAAACAGTCCCTGACTTACCATCCCAGTGGAACCCGAAATTTCTGTCGTTAAGTGAGACCTTTGTTAAGGGAGGTTTGCCCCGTTTTATGATTTTGCTTGTTATCTCTCAAGTTTTTTTTAATTTTATTCTACATATACACATCAATGCGTGAACAATGTGGCAGCTGGGTATCATACATTTTGGTGCAAATAAAAATAGTAACATTAATCCTATCTGTTACATTCATCAAACTTATATAATTCTCATGTTAATACACATCCTTATATTAAATTATGGTCTTTCCATTATTTGATTATTCAAGTATTCGAGTATATTATTCTAATGCCAATCGCAATATTGTTTAAACATACATGGTAATTCCATTATTTAATTTCTAATCTTCCCTCTAATTATTGCTTTCATCTCGTTATATAAAAATGTGTGCGTTAATAATTCCCCCTCAAAAATAATAACATCATATCTGTTTACATTCACTGAACTTATATAATTCTAGTGTTAATGCACTTTATTTTACGATTTTTCTTGCCACCGTTGTTAAGTCAATCACTGCAGTTGATAAGTTGGTAACCCGGTTGTTAAGTGAATCTGGTTTCCCTCACTGACTTTGCTTGTCAGGAGGTGGCAAAAAAGGGTTCCCATTGTTGTGGTTCGTCGGCAGCCTGTGCAGCAGAATCGGACAGTGGGGAAGAACAGGGACCAGTCCGGGAAACCGGGGAGGACTCAGATGAGGGTCCTGCATCCGATACAGAAATGGGGCCAGGACAAATCTGGCAGGTATGTGCTGACTCCGGAGTCTCCAGAATCTGGCAGCAGCGAGGCCGAGGAACAAGGGGAGCCTGTTCCCAGTGTGTGCTTGCGCAGAGCTGCCAGAAGGCAAGAGCAGCTAAGACAAAAGGGGCAACTCGGGAGTAAGGCTTGGAGGTGATTGTCCCTCCCATAAGGTATAAAGGAAGTGCAAAGGTAGAGAAACCTTTGCAGGAAGCAAAGTCGTTTGCTCTGTTCGGATTAAACCTTGAAGCTCTGAATGGACTTTGTACTTCATTTGGCTTTTTACAGTTAATTTGGCACTTTAGTTGTTGGCAGCAATTCAAAGGTGAGAAAGGTGGGTGCATATCTTGAGGGACTGTTTGGGACTCATTACGGGCTAGGAATGAACATAATTCCCAGCGCTGAAATAAAACAAAAGTTGTTTGGACTAACTGTGTGCTTAATTATGGTCTCAGGAAGACTTGGTCGGAATACCCATGACTTTGGGATACAACAACAGTTGTAAATATGGTTGCTAAGCATCTGAATTTTGATCACACGATTGTGGGGATGCCACAAAGATCATAGAGCACTCACAACTTCTGAAGGCAAGCTGTGCCACTGGTTTATTGGTGAAAGGAAATATTGCAAAGGACAAGGTTCCCAGTCAGCCAAGCTCAGCTAGAAAGACCCAAACTACAGCTAAGCCTCCACTTACAGCAGTTCATTTAGTGACTATTCGCAGTTACAACGGCACTGAAAAAAAGTGACTTATGGCCGTTTTTCAAGCTTACGACCGCGGCAGCATCTCCACAGTCATGTGATCAAAATTCAGATCCTTGGCAACTGACTCATGTTTATGAAAGTTGCAGTATCTGGGGATCACGTGTTCATCGTTGCAAAACCAAGCCAAATTCACTTACAACTATCACAAAAAGGTTGTTAAAAATGGGACAAAATTCACTTAATAACTGTCTGGCTTAGCAAACAGAAATTTTGGGCTCAGATGTGGTCATAAACCGAGGACTACCTATTTTGTTGAAACTCTCAATTCTGCCCAGTCCATTATTTTTCAAGAAACGCTGTTTAATTATTTTTAAAATTCAGTATCTGTACCAGTCCTTTACATTTTTCATCAGGGTTTTAAATTCTTAATTTATCTATGCAGGCATCTGCTGCTCCAAATATATTTTTTTTAAAAAATAAATTGCTTTACTTTAAAAATAGTGGGCAACTCTGAAATTCTTTCAACAATCAGGCCTAAATTAATAACGAGGATTTTAAAGGACGTTAATCAGATAACTTGAACAGGACGATCCAAGTAAGTCAGCTTTTTTTGATTAAGCATTCTTACTGTTGCAGAATGTTGGTCTACTCTGGGCATTGAGTGCCCTGTGCAGATCCCTGGAACAAGCTGGCCGGGTCACATTGGAGCTTTCTCCAAAGAGGAATATTCTGCCAAAGCCCTGCCAAACAAGGCGGAGTCATCAGAAATCACATGAATTTAAACTACAAATTCTTGTTACATGAATCTACCCACCCAGGAACTACAGGCTGTCATTGTAACCCTTCAAAACCTGGCTATTTAACTTTCCCTCCATTGTTTTTTTTTTAATCTCTGCAACTGGCATTTGGCCAGATTTAGAGCTGTGTTTCTCAACCTTGACCACTTGACCGGACTCCAACTCCCAGAATTCCTCAGCCCACGTGACTGGCTGAGGAATTCTGGGAGCTGAAGTCCACCCATCTTCAAGCAGCCAAGGTTGAGGAAACGCGGTTTTGAGATCCCACTACGTTGCCTTCTTCTGCTTCAAACTTTCGACCTGTCAGCTATGGACCCCCCAAAATGTGGGAAAATATTCTGGGGACCCTTTCCCCCTTAGCTCCCTCTCTCCTTTGTTTCCCCTTCCTGATTATCCTTTGCCTCAGGCTGGAGTAAATGAAGAGACTCCCTTAGTCACGCTCCATCTTAAAAGACATCAACAGGGGGAGAGAGAGGAACGACCACAGACCGCAGGCTTGCTCCTCCATTACTCATCCCTTAACCCGGAGTCCCAAGGACACTGTGCCCACAACCCACTGAGGCCTTGTCCCCTAGGAGGCCCTTTACAGGCAAAATCTGGCACAAGGAGCTGTGAAAAGCGCACCCACCAGCTCAGCCAGTGCACCAGTGTCAGCCTGCAGTCCGGCATTAGCAATTCCCAGCCCAATTGCAAGGCCGGTCCATTGCAGAGGTGTCTTAAGGACTAGTATATTTATTAGACCAGCGCCCCTCTCGGTCTATTCCTGTGCCATCTAACGGCACAGCTAAAGTTTGTCCACGGTCCTGGCTTCCCTCCAGCCTCGGTTTCTCCATCTCTCCCCCTTCCTTGTCCTTCCTCAGCACTTGGCTTCCCCCTCTTCCTCCGTTGCAGGGGGCTTCCTCCCCCCCACCCTTTTTTTCCCCCTTTGCCTGCCCAAACTCACCCCCTGCCTTGCAGCCTTTGTGTCCGCTGCAGCCGCAGCTCTTTGATGGCTCCCAGATTGGGGACCAAGAAGCGAAAGGCAGTTTCTCATGTCACCGGAGGCAAAGAGGCGGGGCGGGAAGGGGAGGAGAAGGGGAGCCTGCCTGCCTGCCTGCCTGCCCACCCGCCTTCCCTCTCCCAGTTGTGAATCAAATTTCCATCGCTTTTTTCTAGGAAGGAAGAACTTGCTCGACTTAACCCTTCAGCAAACCAGAGGGGAGAGCACTCCCAACTTGCTCCCAGCGGCCTCTCCAAGAGAGGTTATAAAGACCCAGAAACGGGGGAGCCAAATTTGTGCACCCTTACTTTTTAAAAGCAGAAGGGGGGCAGGCTGGCCAGGGATGATGGATGTTGTAGCCCAGCCTATCTTGGGGGGGGGGAGCTGTGCAGGGGGCAGCGAGGAGGGGTGGTTAATTGATATACGTTTTCCTGAGCTTGCCCGGAGCCATACAAGCGGCAAGCGGCACACACACGTCAGCTGATGGATGAGACGCCAGAGCATAAAATGCTGTATTGATTCATTTGTTCTTTGCCCATGAAATATATATGAGCGTCACATTTGCCAGTTGAGCGAACCAGGAAAGATAGCAAGCAAATCAAAGCACAATGAAAAACATTATTAAAAACACTTTGATGCCCCTTGAATATTCTCTTTTTTCTTTTCTTTACTTCTTTCCTTTCTATCTTTCTTTCTTTCTTTACTTCCTTTCCTTTCTTTTTTTCTTTCTTTTTCTTTCTTTTAGTTCCTTTCTTCCTTCCTTTCTTTCTTTCTTTCTTTCCTTCCTTTCTTTCCTTTCTATCTTTCTTTCTTTACTTCCTTTCTTTCTTTCTTTCTTTCTTTCCTCTTTTTTTCTTCTTCCTTTCTTTCCTTTCTTCCTTTCTTTCCTTTCTTTCCTTTCTTTCTTTCTTTCTCTTTCCTTCTTTCCTTTCTATCTTTCTTTCTTTACTTCCTTTCTTCC